ATATTAACTCGAGAGTGATCGCGTACTAGTCATTTTGCCATACTCTTCTATTTTCTATTTATATCTTTCAATTTTATTAGTACTATTACATTTTTACCTTTACGTAAATGTTTGTTAATATTTTTTCGTATAGTATGCGAAAATAGATGATGTAAACACGCTTATATCTACATAAAATTTGATATGTTTATAACGGTCTAAAAGACCGTAACGCACGCACATTAGTGTTTGTCGTCTCTGCCATTATTATGTTTTTATAAATAAAAAATAAAATTATTTTAATTTTCTGATTATTTCGTTACATCTTAATAATTTATACAAATAAAAAAGTTAAAATTAAAATAAAGATATATCACATATAAGTACAATTATTTCCAGTAATTATTATGTTTCTTTGTTTTTAATTGATTAATATAAAGTATTATCAAAATGTTTTTTATTAATTATTATTATAATTATAATTATATATGTATTCTAGTTATAACACATATGTGCGAAAATATATTTTATATTTTTTATCAAAATTAGTAGAACGCGCCTACTAACGTTAGTTTCGAGATGCGCCTACTCTTGGGTTAATATAATGCAGCAATGTGATTTAAATATCCCTTTATATACTGTCTATATTATAAATACAATAGATTTACAGTACCCTCCATAAGTTTGGGAACACCCTATGTTTCACAGGAAAGCCATTACATGATCTATACATGTCTTTGATTTAAATACTTACGAAACGTCGTAAGACGTTTAAATGATGATAAACATTTATTTAGAACATCTATATATACTTGTACATGCCGAAAATATGTTGAACAATCATTTTGCATCGAAGCGCCTAAGAATTGAATTTCGCGCTTTGATCTATTGTTTATATGTATATTGTCATTTAATTTGCAACGTTATGTTCGTTGTATACACAGGTCATTTATAAAAGTAAACTATTTGAGTCGCAAGCTGATTTTAGTAAAAATGTAAAATGGCCCCGAAAAATCAGATTTCGCATTTTAATCAAAATTGTATATTTTGATAGCATGTTATTAAATCTTTAATTGAAAAAAGATAAAATAAAAGTACATACATTTGTACGTTATAGATAATATACGTATGTATATACTTTTATTTCGCCTTTTCAATTAAATAATTATTTACAAACCTGTAAAATATAAAGTGTTCCCAAACTTACGAAGGATACTGTTATAATAATTAGTATAAAAAGGTTTAATAATTTTCACGTACCTTGATTAGTAATCGCGAGGTACATAAGCGGTCTAAAATAAAGTAATGAGATTGTGATGAGCATGCCAACGTTTGAACCATATGTGAATATTTTAGATATGCGATTGTAGTAGTAGTAAATTATTTCTTCCTCAGAATTCTCAAACTTGCGTTCTGCTATATCCTTTTTTATTTCATCAATTACGATCTTCAGCAAATTACTGCAGCGTATTAGCCACACTATTGAAAATGTCATGGCGTGAGCTATCATTTCCACGAGACTCATCACCATCAGTTCCAAATTACCAAAGACATTGTAAAACTCGGTAAACGCCATAATAAAGTAATGAACGTAATACATGATATAAATTACAAAACGGACGTACGACCGTTCGGATGGCCATATTCCTCCGACGGAAAAAATCCGTTCCAAATAAACAAATATATCTTCAATATAATCAACTTTGTTCTGTAATATTATATTTTAAATAGAGGTTGTGATTGATACAACGAATTTTAAATTATGTATAAAAAATAGTTAGATAAGTTACGATACGTAATTAATATTAAACGAAGAACAGTTTTCTTTTTGGTTATGGAATATCTTTCGCGAAAGAATATTAATTTCTTACACTCATTTTTTTATTAACAAATCGAGTTGTAGTTTTTCATCAACTGATCGTCCGCAATTGTGATTTGTTTTCTTCCGAACCTTGTGCATTGTTACGTTAATTCATACGCGTGACAGTTGAACAAATAATATCTGGACATTTGTATAGTACTAATTTTGTCATTTTGCTATTTTAAAATTCTGTACATTTGATAACATAACAACTTAATAATCAATCTGCTATTAAGTTGTTATTAGCTATCATTTTTCTTGGCGCACTAATTATCTTACAGTCTTTCATACAATAAAAAGCAATACTACTCTTTTATTTTTCTTACATCTATATTACTTTTATTTTTTAATATCCGGTACATTATAGAAAAATTACAGCAATTGCAATAAATATGATGTAGATAGTCATTAAACTTTTTAATGCTTCTAAAATTACTAATTGTTAAATTTAGTAATAATATTGTCAATCTATTTTTCTTCACAAAACATTATTTGATAAGATTATTCTGTGCTTCATAAAACATTATTTAATAAGATTATTTTGTGCTTTTCTTTTGAATATTTTGAGAGAACAATTGAGGTTTGATCTTAGAAGTATTGCATTCTATCATTCTATAATTATTAGATAAGTATGGTGATATCTAATAATAGTTATTCATTTGTAATTAATAAAAAAAATTAATATATAATAAAAATATATTATACCAGATTTAACCAAGAATAATTGGAAAATTGCGAATTTTATTATAATTAATTGTATACTACATGGTATAGGGTGTCCTAGAACGTCAAATATTTCATGTGCTAATAAAGCGGATTAAACTGAATCCTAATAATAAAAATCCTCTACCATTTTGCAATTTTCGCAATTCTAGAACACCCTGTATAGTAAATTCACTCGCTATAGTAAAAAAAACTCTAATTATTTGATTACAGAAATAATTATATTAGATGTTACTAATCTTGCATTGCTCATGTTGACCTTATTAAATTGAATACATTGTGTGATGTTGTATATTGTTCTGTCATTTCTTTTTAATTCTTTTCTATGTTAAAAAACATAATTCTTTTTTAAATATTTAAGTATCTAGTTTAAGTTGTCCACAGTAAACCAAATTTAATAATACAGAATGTCCGTAAAAAATATATTATAGATTCATGCTATGCGAACAATATCGGTAAAATTAAGTGCAGATTGTAAAATACAATTATATCTGTCATTTTAGGGTGCAAAATCTGTTTCCTGAGAATTAATTATTATTAATCTAAAAGTGTGATAACAAAAACAGGTGTGTAAAATTGAAATACATAATTGTTTTTCAAATTGATTCTAAAACTGGAATGTATTATTACATATATATCTTACTTTCATATTAAATTAGTTGAATAATTATAGTTTTTTATTATATTATTATAGTTTTACTTTATAGTTTCTTATGATGTTCATTTAAAACTGAAACAGTTAAGGCAAAATTGTCTGCAGTATGGGTACCTATAGTCAATCGATATTATCGATCGACGATATACTAATCATTTTCATTATAGCGCAACTGTAACTTTAATCGAAAATGTTGACATAATAGTTACTTTAGTTTGTGCAACATTATCCTCATTATACATCTATTATCTTACTTCTCTGTACAATGAAAACAACCATGTGTCCGATAGCCATAGTCGAAAACCTATTTGCTAATTATTTTTGTTTGGCGGTAAGATGAGTTCTGCTGTCTAAAACCTAGAAAAAAAACTTGGCGTAGCATGGAAATCAGTTTTTACGAAAAACTCGCTAATTACAAACTTTAAGAAATAGAAAAAAATTCAGACTGCAGACTATAACTCTATTCAGTGTATCTTGGAATATTGTACTGTTCGAATCGA